TTATGTCATGATTAGTATAATTGATTCAATAAACGAGACACACAAAAAACAATCGATAGAGGTTAATACATAGTAACTTCAGCTATATCACAATATCTACATGTACTTACATAAATTACTTCACATTTTTTGATGAAGAATCTTTCGTACAGCTATATGGAAAGTATCTACCTACAGCTACATATATCACTTAACTTTGATAATGATAAATCTAGAAACTCAATGGGACATTTATTCCATTAGAAGTCATTGATTTAAACAATATTCATAATACACTATCACAAGTTTTAATGTTATTATAGTCTTGCACAGTTGAAAAAGAATCATATAACTGATTAGTATATCGTTACTTAGTATGTGATAATTTTAAAAACTTCCACAATACTTAAGTTTTATGTCAGGGGGCGCCCTGCTTTGGCAGAGAGGAAAGGTGCTTGCATTTTACGTTGCCAGGGAGGTGCTCTGGTTGATTTCAGGGCCCCATTCCCAGCCCGGTGGTTATTTAGTTTATTTTATTGTTGTAATCAAAACATACTGAAATATGCAATTTAATTAATCACAGTGAATGCTTATGGTTTCCGGTACATTTATTATTAAGAAAAGTGAAAAAATATATTGATATAAATGAAAAGAAAATACAGTAACATATTTTTGCACCATTCATTTATATTTAACACAACTTTTACTATCTTTTTTTTCTCTTATTTTTTGCAGTAAGTGTAATTTTTTTATATGCCACCATATTACACTATGTTTTTGAGGTCTGTATGTTTGTTTAGATATAATGATGAATGTTTTTTTGTAAAAATTAGCAATGAGTAATCTTAAAATTGTCTCTTACAATTGCCGTGGTTTAAATGACAGCATCAATAGGCGTGATGTTTTTAATCTATTTCATACAAAATATGCTGATATACTTTGTCTGCAAGAAACACATTTTATTAAAGAATTTGAAAAGAAAATTTATTCTGAATGGAATGGCTTATGTTATTTTAGTCATTGTAAATCTAATGCAAAAGGTGTGGCCATTTTATGTAGAAAAGATTTAGATATTAAAATAAATTTTGTTAAAACTGATGACTCTGGAAGTTTTATAATGTTAGGTATTTCATTGGATTCCATAAATTTTACATTAGTTAATATATATGCACCAAATACAGATAGTCCTAGTTTCTTTAGAAATATTTTTGATATATTAAATTGTTCTGACGAAAATGACTCTCTAATAATTTGTGGAGATTATAATCTTGTTCAAAATCCAGACCTGGACTACTATAATTATAAATCAAAGAATAATAATATGAAGGCTAGAAATTTTTTACTCAGTATTATTGAAGATAAAGAACTTATTGATCCTTTTAGAGAGTTACATGGTGATATAAAAAAATATACATGGAGACGCACCAACCCAATACAGCAAGGTAGATTAGATTTTTTTCTTATAACAAAAAATTTATATCAGTTTGTACGTAAATGTGACATTGATGCTAGTTATAGATCTGATCATTCAATGATATATTTGGATTTTTGTTTTGTTCCTGTTAATCATGGAAAAGGTTTATGGAAATTTAATAATGCTCTTTTACATGACATTGAATTCCTTGATATCATTAATAAGAAAATAGATGAAATAAAATTGCAATATTGTTTACCTGTATATAATATAGATTATGTTTTGGATATAAACAATAAAGATATAGACTTTGTTATTAATGATGAACTTTTTTTAGAGACACTTTTAATGGAAATTAGAGGTAAATCCATTTCTTATAGCTCTTTTAAGGCTAAAGAAAGAAATACATATGAAAAAAAATTATTTGAAGAAATTATTTTTCTAGAACAAAACTTAACAAATGATAATAAAGACAAACTTCTACATTTACAAAACGAATTGACTGAATTAAGAAACAATAAAATAAAGGGTGCTATGATTAGGTCAAGGTCACAATGGATTGAATCTGGAGAAAAACCTTCTAATTACTTTTTAAATTTAGAGAAATCACATTGTTCAGCTAAGACAATACCTTTTCTGGAACTTGATGATGGAACTTTTATTTATGATCAAAAGGATGTACTTAAAGAAACTAGTGCTTATTATGAAAACTTATACAAAAATGTAACTTTGAATGATTGTAATATTGATAGAGAATTGAGAGATTGTGATATTAATATGCTGTCTGATAGTGAATCACTCAAGCTTGAAGGTCTCCTTTCATATGATGAAGTCTCCTTTACATTAAAAAATATGAAAAATGATAAAAGCCCTGGGTGTGATGGATTTACAGTAAATTTCTTCAAAACTTTTTGGAATAGAATTGGACATTTTGTGGTGAAAGCTATTAATTATGCATATAAGGTTAATTCATTTTCTAGATGTCAAAAATTAGGAACAATTACATGCATTCCAAAACAAAATAAACCTAAACATTTTTTTAAAAAACTGGAGACCGATTACTTTATTAAATGTAGTTTATAAATTAGCCTCAGGTAGTATAGCAAACAGACTTAAAAGTGTTTTAGATATTTTAGTGTCAAAAGATCAAACTGGTTTTATTAAAAATAGGTACATTGGTGAAAATACTAGATTATTGTATGATATAATGAAATACACTGAAGATAATAATATACCAGGTTTATTAATGATGATTGATTTTGAAAAAGCTTTTGATACTTTATCGTTTACATTTATAGAGAAATGTCTTTCATTATTTCATTTTGGTCCAATGTTTAGGAAATGGATTTCTTTGTTTTTATATAATACTGCAACTTGTGTAAAGATGTTAAAGGTATAAATATAGATGGCGAGGAATATAAAATATCTCAGTTTGCGGACGATACATCACTACTTTTGGATGGTTCAGAAAAATCACTTAATACTGCTTTAAATTTGTTAAATAAATTTACAGAAATTTCAGGTTTAAAGATAAATTTTGACAAAACTAAGATTATTTGGATAGGCTCTCTTAAATATAGTACTAGATCAATTAAGACAAGGTGGAAACTAACATGGGGTGACACACAGTTTAAACTATTAGGATTAACTTTTGATGTTAATTTAGAAAAAATGATTGATCTAAATTTTGATGAAAAGCTGCAGAAAGTAAAAAATAGTATTAGTCATTGGAAAAAAAGGGTATTAACTCCACTAGGAAAAATCACTGTTGTTAAGTCAATATTGCTTCCTTTATTTACTCATTGTTTTACAAGCCTACCTACACCTAATACTGCTTTTTTGAAAACACTTAATGATTTATTTTATGATTTCATATGGGAAGGTAAGGCAAAAATTAAACAATCTGTAATCATTAAAACATACAAAGAAGGTGGTCTTAACATATTAAGTAGATATTAGTAGTTATGTTCATTCATTAAAAATAAAATGGCTTAAAAGATATGTTAGCAATTGTGATAGTAAATGTTATAAGTTTGTGAACTCATTGTTTAATATTGATAAAGTTTTTAATTTTGGAAAAATGTATTGTATGTCAATTAATAATAAGATTAAGAATGCTTTCTGGATTGATGTTTTGAAAGCTTACATGATCTTTGTTGATAAACTTTGTATAGATAACTTCGAACAAATATTACATATGCCACTGTTTTACAACCATTGCTTTTCTATAGGACATAGATATATCTACATTAAATCTTTTTATGACAAAGGAATAAGATTTGTGAAAGATATTCTTAATGAACAAGGTGATTTTATTGAGTTGAATCTTTTAGAACAGTGTATAGGCAAACAAGTTAATTTTTTAGAATATCATGGTTTAAAACAGGCTATAAAATCTTACATGCTAAAGCTAAATATTACCATTAATACTGAGTTGCTAAATGTTCAATATCCTATTGTAAACTGTTTTATCAAACCTATTATTATTACAAATAGCAATAAGAAATACCTGTATGAAACTTTTGTTAAAAATACAGATGTACCAACAAGTAAGGAAAAATGGAACACATACTTTATAGATAATAATATAAACTGGCCACTGATATATAGTTATGTATTTAAATGTACCAAAGATTCATATATTCAGTGGTTTCAGACTAGAATAATTCACAGAACTTTAGCAACAAACTCAATGCTGTTTAAAATGAAAATTGTTGATAATAAAATGTGTACTTTCTGTAACTGTCAAGAAGAAACACTTATACATTTATTTTGGGAATGTCAAAAAATTCAGTCTCTATTTCAATATTTGCAAAGTAACATACATAATTTTGACAATATTTTCAACTGTAAGTTTTTTATTTTAGGTTCTGAAGATAAGGACTTCGAATATGATATATTGTTTTCAGAATTTATAAAAATACATATATTTGTCTAAGAGAAAAAAATTGTTACCCACATGTATTGGCTTTAAAAATAGCCTTAAATTAGCCTGGACTATTTACAAAAATACCAATTTGACTGACACTGAAATTAAAAGATGGCAAATTGTAAGATTATTAATCGAATAAATTACACTTACATTTTATATTTATGTTAGGTTCTCTTTTGTTTACTTACATACATGTGTAAAATATACTATTTGTATGCTTTAATAATAATGTTAATATGATAAAATTTAAGGATTATTATGATCTTTTGTTTGTAAATATTACAATGTTATGCATGTATAATTAATGTAAGGTATGTGGGGGATGACCCCGACCCTCTCATACCTATTACGGGGTGAATAAACGGGGTTACCCAGTTGGGGCCTCAAAAAAAAAAAGTTTTATGTCAGGAAAAACTATAAAATAAGCAATGTCGAAAATTAGCTAACAAATATCAAAATATCCTTGAAACATACTTTGAAATACATATATCAATTTGTACCATCAATAATGATACATAGTCGTTTTCTATGTTTTATGGCGTAATGATATCTTATCCAATTATTGAAGTTTACTAATTACGATAACATTAATTATTACGGATCAACAATGTCTTGACCGCCTAAAACTTCGCAGCGCTGAAATGTCCACAACATTTAAAATTCAGGGTCAAAAAAGCGTTCTACAAAGTAAATAAACTTATAATCATAGTTTACGCAATGAATTAAAGGAAGTTAAAAGGTAAATAATTTTCATTCTTAACCACGTCGTTGTGCAAGTGAATGGAAAACTGATCGAACTATTTTACATATAATTATCTTGATTGATTAAAAACAACGATATGCGGAACTAAAAAAATCTTCACTTTACCAGACAAGGAATACAGAACAAATATCATTCCAAAAAGTCGATAGAATGAATTTGAACTTCTCCTGTTTGTTTATCTTCACTTTTTACGGCAATCTCTGTGTCACCAAATATAAACCTTGTACCGAATAGTCTGTCTGTTCCAAGTGAAATATCTGGAATAGGTATTACAAAATGGCCTATTTTAGTACAACCTGGTTCAGTGACTAAACGAGGGTCAGGCGATTTTGATGCATATATTTTCCTATCAATAGTTGTTTGGTCAGCATAAGTAGGGTTTGTGATTATTTCCGTTTGTTCTTCTTCTAATTTTACTGTCTGTCCAATAGTTATGTGTTTCACGAAAATATTAATACAGTGTAATTTTCCATCAATCAATTCTATCCTGGTCGGGGGATGATTACAATCAAGAGTTGTTTCATGGCAAACGCTCTGTCCATATGTGTACTTGCATATGCGCTCGGAGATTGTGCTTGGCCGATGACCAAAAATAACAGCTCCTTTCAAGACAGCTAAACCAGCCCCTTCTGGTATAATTACATTGTACCTTCTTCCAAATGCGCATTTGACAGCATCTTGAAGAATGATTGACTCCGAAAATCCACCAACCATAACAATAGCTGTACATTCTTTATTCAGCCTTTCTCCCAATAACGACTCTAAATGCTGTACAATACTATCTACTGATTGTTTGAAAAATGACTGAGCAACTTGACCATCAACTCTTAGTTTACCGCTTACGTATGTAACCTGTCCATTGAAAGGTGATGACATGATTTTGTCCTTTATCGACAATCCAGTAGCACCTTTGATAGTTTTAACAAAAGTCGGCGGTATGCGAAATGTCACTTTGCCTAAATGACCTGGTGACGTTTCCCGTTTCTTGACTTCAAACGTTCGGAACAGATCAATATAGTCATCTATATGCTCTTTCTTAAACTGCTGAAATGCCTCTGGCCCTATATAAATTGATTAAATATTAGAAATATAATCGCTTTAAGCGTAGACAACTGTTTAATTTTCAAATTAAAGATTGTGAAAATTTAGCAGATTTTACCAGCTGGTGATATCAACCTATCAAACACACTGTTCACGTACACAGGTAATTTCATTATATATGAATTGAAATCTTTTGTAAGTGCTTTCGAGCAATGCGAACCGTAGCATCTGCATCAAAGCATCATTTTTTTTTGGCAAATTTGCCTCATTTTTATTATAAGTAGATGGAGACGTTTTTATGAATGTTTTGCATTCTGTTGTGAGGGATTCAGTACCTTATACAGTATAGAAATATGCTTAAAATATTTTGTATAAAACTTAATGAAAATCGTAGATACCTGCTATATCTGAAAGGAATCGTTCGTAAGCTTTGTCTACCATAGTTCCTCCCCAGGCCCCCCCACTAGCTTTGTGTAACTCTCGGAGTTTACCATCTACTATGACTTGATGAACCGTGATATCAATAGTACCTCCTTTAAAATGAATAACATAAAAATAAGTTTTGAGATATCATTTTATTGCTTTAAATAGAAATCGAGATAAAAGATTTTGGTAATAACTAGTAATAAGCCATGCTGAAATGACATTGAAATAGATGGTGACCGATATAAATACAAGGCAAAATTTATGCTTTATCTAGGTAGATTTAGTATAGCATTTGAATATTGCAAAAAGGCATAGCGGTAACCTAGGAAAAATGGAAAAATCATTGTAAAAAGCTCTTTTTTCTGTTTATTCCAGTGTAAATTTATATTGTATTTGCGAAAATCAAACAAGAACAAATATAAGTGATTGTTTAGTAATATATCAATAAACCTATTCAAGTATTAAGTAATATGACATAACTCGTAAATCGAGACCATTTTTTAAGAAATGTTTGTTTGAAGCATCATGATTTGCATTTTTCTGGGCATATAGATGGCTTAATGATTTTGAGTTTCTATCCCAAAATTTTATGAATGAATTCACAAAACAGTCTAACTTGCTTTTTCTGTTATTCATATATCTCTCTTTAATTTCTATTTTAGTTCCTTAAAAACAGACTAAATGTGGTTACTTCGCAACAGACGATGAAAAAAGAAAAAAAAAACTTCCTGGATTTTACATGTAATTCATAAATATTTATAAAAGTACATTGCACTATTCTCCATAGCGTAATATTCAATAATCCTCTAAGTTTCTTAGTTGGACTTGTTCAGTTTCCATTTATAATTGTGGGATTACATATCAATATGTTACATTGAAGTTCAAATGTAGCACAGAAGTTTGTTGTTCTTTTTATTCATTTATTTCCACGTATTAGTATTGTTTTTGTGTCATATTAATTGCACATTTTATCAAATATATAGCAATGGCTTTTCATCATGTCAATTCATTGATTTCTGTTGATAACATGCACTGTCTTAAAACTTAGTTTTATTAGTCACCGCAAGTTTATCAGACACTTACGGTGGCACAAAGGTGACATGTGTGTGTTTTTATTTATCTCGTTGCCACGAGATACTATGTAATGGCCACGAGTTACAAAGTCTAGGCTACAAGATAGCTTAATTGTGGCCACGAGATACTAAGTCATGGCCACGAGTTACTAAGTCGTGGCCACGTGATCGCTAAGTCGTGGCCACGAGATACTATGTCGTAGCCACGAGTTACTAAGTTGTGACCAAGAGATAGCTAAGTCGTGGCCACAAGTTACAATGTCGTGGCCACAAGTTACTAAGTCATGGCCACGAGATAGCTAAGTCGTGGATACGGGATACTATGTCGTGGCCACGAGTTACTAAGTCGTGGCCATGAGATAGCTAAGTCGGTGTCACGAGATAGCTAAGTCGTGGCCACGAGATACTATGTCGTGGCCACGAGTTACTAAGTCGTGGCTACGAGATAGCTTAGTCGTGGCCACGAGATAAATAACCAATCAGATTACACCATTTATGTGAATTTCCCTAATAAACTAGACATATGCTATAGTACAAGATGCCCCTTCTTCACCAGCTTGTAAAAGTGTCATATATACAACTTATTGACTTGTCAATAATTTTACATTTAGAGTCACTGTGACCCTGAGTTTTGACCAAATGACCTCGAAATTATTAGATGTCATCTACCTATCAGGTGCAATGATCTTTCTGGGTTACATTAACCACGGCTTATCTTTTCTAAGTTATTCATCAGACAAGGATTTTACCTTATATGCTAGTTACTGTCCATGGGCAATGTCCCTTTCAAATAAAATAAACCAGGACTAATTCCTTCTCATGTTATCGTATAAACAAGGTAAACATGCCGAGGTGCGTACAAACTGAACAATTCGATCACAAACTTGCCCAACAAAGAGCTATAGTCAAAATTAATGTCTAATTGGCCTTGGAAGGTAACTTTCTGATATGATCTTAAAGACAAGTATCTTAAGTACTTTCAAAGATTAATGTTGCATGTCAAAGTAATAGTTTAAAATATTTATAATATATATAATGTATTCTGACTGGTTAATTATCTCGTGGCCACGACTTAGCTATCTCGTGGCAACGACTTAGTAACTCGTGGCCCAGACATAGTATCTCGTGGCCTCGACTTAGCTATCTTGTGGTCACGACTTAGTAGCTAGTGACCACGACATAGTATCTCGTGGCCACGACTTAGCTATCTCGCGGCCACGACATAAAATCTCGTTGCCACGACTTAGTAACTCGTGGCCACGACTAAGTAACTCGTGGCCAAGACATAGTAACTCTTGGCCACGACTTAGCTATCTCGTGGCCACGACATAATATCACGTGGCCACGACTTAGTAACTCGTGGCCACGTATAGTTATCTCGTGGCCACGACTTAGTAACTCGTGGCCACGACATAGTACCTCCTGGCCACGAGATAAATAAAAACACACACATGCCACCTACATGACTATTTTTGTAAAATATTATATATTGGTCCCATAATTTGATGAGCGATTCTCGAAAGAGTGGTAACTAGGAATCTTTCTGTTTGAACACACATGCATACGAAGTATAAGTAAATAGAATAAAATGTTCATGACCAATATATTATTCTGCTATTTTAAGAAGGGTTTTGCCTGTTTAGCAATGATTTCGTGCACGCGGCATTCTTTTTTTAAAGGCAATTTACTAATATATTTGTTTCATACAAGTATTTTGGAAGTTTTTTTTTTCAAATTAAAACAATAATGTTTTTGTCAAAAACAACCTAGCCTCGTACAGTGCGGGTTCAGGCATTATGATGGGTGTAAACATGTATAAATGTTCTCTCCCTACAAGCAATCGTCTTTCGATAGCTTTTGACTATGGTGGTGAATATAGGGATATCAAAACAGAACTGTACTGTATTATCTCTGAATCATACCAAGTTTAATCAATTTTCTTGATGGTTTCAAGTTCTATGATAACTTTTAAGAACGTTTTTTTGGTGACTAGTATTGAACTTAAGCTGGTCAGTTTACACGGGAAATCCATTGAATACATATTTTAGAGTGAACAAGAGCCTAGACTGGTTCTAAAGAAATGTTATTTGATTGGAAAAATTTATTCTTCTTTGAACGTATTATACAATTCATAAACCTGTGTCCTTGCCGTTGCTGAAGAGTTATAATTATTTTTGAATCATAAATAAAGTTTTCTCTTCTCTATAACAAATACTTGTGAAGTGTCAATACTAAACTTATTGAATGTGTTGAATTTAACAATTTACTTTTCGTCAGAGCCTTGATTATATTCAACTCGTTCAAGAAATTTAGTATAAAACTTATGCTTATTCCTTATCATCGGCATATCGTGTAAAGACGTCATTGTACATAGCTTACATGAACATGATTTTCTTATGATGGCAATATAATGAACGTGGTTTAAGTGCATCAATAGCATATCGACGCAATGAACATTTCATAAAAATATTAAACATATTAAACTTATTTTTATATAAAAAAAAATTCCCAAAATGTTTAAAATAGAATTGAGCACTTGTCTCTAAACTTGGACCAGTCGCGATGACAGCAGGGTAACAAAATTATTTGAAAGATCTACCTCCAGCATCTAAGACAATATACTTCGTTCCCGGTTCAAATGAAGCTAAGAAATTTTCTTCATGGCCTTTCTGAACGGGCAAATATCGACAGTAAAGAGAGGCTGCTTCCGGTTCAAGTGCAATCTTTAACTGTGACCTTGGAATACCAGCCTGTAACATAGTTTCCAATGTTATTTAGTAAGATAGTTTTCAATGTTGTTTACCATACTTGACATTTTATAAAATTATTATTGAATAAAGCTTGAATAAATATTGAATAAATCTTGTTCATCATGTTTGATATATATAAACATTTTTTTAAAAAAAGTATTAATTCTTTAATAAATTAGACCCATGTCACTAAACTGACATCCGGATCAAACTATTTGAAATGACAATATGCTTTTAAAAATGAAACTATTTACTGACTTGTTCTGCTGCTTCCCTCATAAACTGTTTTGCTCCATCATTCCATATTGCAGGCACTGTTAGAACCCATTTAATATCATCTTCTGATAAGTCATCTGCAAGTTGTTTGTGACACTCTTTTAGAAGATCTTTCTTCAGAAACTCAATTGCAAGTGAGAACACTGATTTTGCAGGTAACATTTTTCCTGTTTCATCTTCAAGCATGACGTGCCTTTGAATTTTCTAGATAATAAATATGTGTTTTTATAATCGAAACGGCTGAATGTCTTAAAAAGAATCTGCCATTTCCATGAAAATTCTATACCAAGCTGCATTCTAACTGTTGTTGAATTAAAAATAAATCAAAAGAGATATATTTTATATCTTAACATTACGTTGATTGATTTTGCAATATTGCATTTTAGATAATACTTTAAAATTATTTCAATTATTTAGAAATCGAACATAGGAAGGTCTGTTAATGATTGCTTAATATAAAATTCCAATAAATGTCAATATTTTCAGGAAAAGACTAAATATCGAAAGCTAAAGAAAAGCGTTTGTTTTCATTAAACTGATTATATAGGCAAATTTTAACATAATGTATAACGTATGAATTTATTATTGTTAGTTCATGTTACATTAATATATATATCACGAAATGTAAGAATTGTTATTTCCTATGTATATAATTATGTTTGGATGTAAAACCTAATGTATCATAGTTGTGACACGAAACTACAGGAAAAGTTTTTAATTAAGGATTTTGTGTGTCAGGTATTTTGTGTAATCTCTTGATAATTTTTACTAATCACTGGCCAGATATGGGAAAATCATTTCAATGGTTACATGATATCCCTGAAATGTTCCTATATTTTCACACAAACACACACACATACACGCGCGCGCACACACACGCACGCACGCACCATTGCACGCACGCGCGCGCACACACACACACGTTTTATAGAAACAGGTAGACATTAATTACGGAAGCCTATTGAGGCCGTTCTGAGTTAGAACTAAGGTGTTAGATCTTAGAACTTAGATCTTAGAACTTACGTCTTAGCTCTTAGAAATTAGAGGTTCCGTAAAGGCAGGAAAACGCCGTAAAAACTGAAAAATAGACAAGAAGATGTAAGTGAGATAAACTTTTTATTATATTTCTTTAATTTTATTTTTTTCATTTTTAAGAATTGCAGAGATATAGCTAATGTACGGAAGCCCATTGAGGCCGTTTTGAGATAGAAGTTAGAAGTTAGATCTTAGAACATAGATCTTACAACTTAGGTCTTAGCTCTTAGAACATAGAGGTTACATATTGGCGGGAACACGCAATATTTACTGCAACATAGACAAGAAGATGTAAGTGAGATATAGAGGATATTCAAGTTTTTTCTATAAATACATGATTTATTTTCATCAAGTGGTATGAAAATAAATATTTCATGAGTGGCGGTAGCCACGAGTGAAATATGGTAATTTTCATGCCACAAGATGAAAATAAATCATGTATTTATAGAAAAATCTTGAATTTTCTGTTTATTATATACATTTTTCTTTTTTTTGCTATAAAACTTGAAAGACTTTCCCTTAAATTTTGCGTACTGACATAATTTAAAAGAAAGGAGTCCGGCAAGACACCAGTGAAAATACGGAAAATATGTTTCACTGCAGTGAAAAATAAATTTTTACAGTGAAAATACGGAAAATGAAAATACGCATTTTATTTCATCAATATTTCTCAATATTTCATTTGTAAGTATATAATAAAAGCTTTTTATTATATTTCTTTAATTTTATTTTTTAATTTAAAGAATTTCAGAGTTATAGCTAGATAGTTAAAAGATTAAGTGATTATAGATTATAAATAAGAACCGGGTAAAAGCAACCAATTTCAATGGGAGGCAAAGGTCGACGAAGCTATCTTCAACAGGCTGGTACAAACTCCATAAGTGGATATTTTAGCCAGTTATAGCTATTTTTTCCGAACCAGGCTACCAAAAAAATCTACGATGAAGGCACAAGCGATGAACCTGTTGCCTATATTTATGTAATTATCAATTATCAAATCTAAAACAGTATTTAAAATTGTGTATCTGTTAGTTTTATGATAATTAAAAAATGTCGCTTTTCTAATGTGTATTAAAATAATTTGATTATTTATCCTATTTCAGATTCTTTTTCATCCCTTTTCCGGAGGATGGAAATGGTTTCTAAATAAGTATCTAGGTTTGGAGTTTGGTTGTTTGTTATTACACCAGTAACAAGTGTTGTAATCACATATTTAGCTGCCATTCCCAATGGGCGCATTAAACAAGACTAGAACCGATCAACTTGTTGTGGCATGTAAATGGTTACGACAAGTTAAAGTCAGTTGATTTTGCATCCTCGGAGCGATCTGTACAGTCGACTCATTTTATGGCTCAAACAGTATCAACAACTCGCCGGCAGTGAAAACGTCATACTACCCAGACACATTAGAGGAACTGAAAATTCTCAAATATAACGGCACAGAAAGCGTAACATGGTTGACAAGTTTGGATTAGAATGGATTAGATCCAAGCAGAACTATACATGTAAGATAAACCCAAAGAAGTTTTTGAAATACCTTTCGGAAGACCTGATACAATGTATTTTGTACCTGGAATCTCTGGAATCAACTTTGGTCATCGTGTTGAACAAGAAGACATACAGATGTGCCAGAACTTTGTGGATCACTTACAGGTCCTCATTGAAAGGAAACCGAGAAACTTGTTCGAGTGTTGTCGTCGAATAACAGAAAGCCTTTGAAGCCATTAAACGAATCATTAACATTGCACCTTGATTTTTTACAGATGATTGTGGAGCATTTACAATGACTTACAATGAACATGTAATTGGGTTTCGTGTTGGCATTCATAATTATTAATAAGAAATTATATCATTGATTATATATTATATTAATTATATCATTGATTATATATTATATTCTAACATAGATTTATGTGATTTTAGACCCCCAATATTATCCTTTTGGGTTAATGATGCCTGGATCTTTTGAAAAACCTATTGAACTGTTTCAAGATTACTGTTTATGTGGAACGGTTAATGTAGTCAGAGCTTCAATAAATGGTCCGACCAAATTGTGTGTCTATTCTACATTTAAAATTTCATTTATGTTCTCTTTGTATTATTATTGTATTAGATAACCATTGCCTTAATTGTAACGAAGTGCACTTCTGTATTAATATTTGATGACATTATCAGTGTTTTAATACTGATTTGGGTTACCATGATATATATATATATATATATATATATATATATATATATATATATATATATATATATATATATATATATATATATATATATATATATATATATATATATATATATATATATATATATATATATATTAAAAGTATTAAAATAAAATGCCATTTGCTACAATTTCCTAAGGCGACAAAAGTGCATTATTCTGCACAAATGATTGATGGCGTGACTTGTTCTTTGCTTCAAATGGGCCTGCAGTATATTCACAAGGACATTTTATTACTAAATAGAAACAATATAATCTAAGTTTATGGTATTCAAATTGGCAGGGTACCGAATGATGGCTTAACAAGCAATTGTTGTATAAGTAGGCTAAGCTATAATACTAGATATAAAGCGTGTTAAAAATAATTGAAGAATCCATAGCGATTTAATAAAAACCTCATTCAATTATTGAAGCTATAGTTGCATGTTGCCTTAAATTGCAGTGCTAGGCAAAACAGTTTGCAAACGTATTTTTGGTTTATATGCAGTACGTTTATTGATTGTTTTGTGCGTGCGTGCGTGCGTGTGTATGTGTGTGTCGGCCTTTTGTTCAAAGAAGTGTCAGCATCAGAAGAACCATTGCACACGATACATCTGCACTTGCGCATGCCTTTCAGACTAGTTATGACGTTTTTTAATGCACGGGCCAACAGGTATAACAATGCGGTACAGACAAAATCGGAGTATAACAAAGCTGAGACCCTGTCTCGATCAATCGAAATATAGGGCTTCAAATAGGTGTTCCAAGAGGGGACCGTGGCAGTGAAGGACATACAAAGTGGCCTAAACATGGTCCAACTATCTTCGAACTTAGACATTAGAAATTAGTTCTTAGACATTAGAACTTAGACATTAGAAATTAGTTCTTAGAACTTAGACATTAGAACTTAGACATTAGAACTTAGACATTAGAACTTAGACATTAGAACTTAGTTATTAGAACTTAGTTATAAAATTTAAAAAAAAATGTTTTGAAAGAGATAAAAGAAGGAAGCATAACTCAGTTATCATACATAAAACTTTATTCAAGTAACAGTAATCATACATAAAACTTAATTCAAGTAACAGTAAACTACAAAACATGAAACAAGGCACTTATCTCATTTATCAGAAAAAAAGAATATCACAGTCTCGACAAGAACATGTCAATAGCGTGCAAACTTCAGAAACCATTAATACTTCAGCTCTGTCACAATTATATTTTTTGGTAAAGATCAATGATATCTGTCTACATCAAATATTCATAGAAAAAAATCGAATGAACAAAATACTTATTTTTTAAACGTTTTGTTAATAGTTTAAAAAATATAGCGTTTCTTAATCCGTCAGTTATATTAAAAATATATATGCACATGAACTTGAAATTAAACCAGAACGATGAACTAAGAACTTTGAACTTGGATAAACAGTTCTGTAAAATGCCTAATTAGTTTAATGTGTCAAGGCAATATGACGCTGTCAATTCGGACGAGTTGTTACTGTTTGTTACTTCGAGACATAAAATGTGTCGACTGTACCCGTCGATCGCTCCGTGGATGCAGAATCCACACAGCTTTAACTTATCGTAACCATTTACATGCCACACAAAGTAAAGACCTTTTGAGATATATCTTCGCCGATATGATCGGTGGCTTTGCGGTTATTAGTTCCTTTTGGATCGCTTTGAGGCAATAGCCTCATCACAGAATCTCTACACATTGCAACCGGTAGTCTGTCAGCAGTTTGTGCTACATCGATCCATACCTACATACTTGGTACTCCTCTGGATTACTACAATAATGGGGTCCCTTCCATCGTCCTTAGGTGTACGTGTTTTGCGTTGGATAATTTTTTGCTTGCTTTCAGTATTAGTTTAATATTATTGTAAAATAAACTATGGATAAGTAATTCTTAATCAGTTCAAGGCTTGTTAAATGCGCCCCTCTGAGAATGATAGTTAA